GGGGGTGGGGGGAGGGGCCCTGCTGCCAGCCTGCGCCGAGGGGTAGGCGGCGGCTTTGAGCCCGGTGGCGGCCGGGCACTGGGCTGTGGCAGTGCCTGCGGCTAAAGTCTCCCTTGACATGATCAGCATCATCATAATTGTTATTGTCATTACTAATATGATCATGCGTGCTGTTATTGATGTTATTGACATCATTACTGACATTATTATGAATATTAGTATTGGCATTTCCAATATGATTAATATTGATATGCTTATTATGGATATTATTGGTGTTTCCGACACTATTGTTTTTATTGATAGGCATATTATGGATATTACTGGTGTTTCCAACACTATTATTATTATTAATAATATGATAATAATATTATAACACTATTATTATTATTAATAATGTAATAATAATAACATGCACATCATTGATATTATTGGTGCTTCCAACATTATTATTATTATGCATTTTACTGATATTATTTGTGCTTCGGATATTATGAATATGTATATTACAGATAGCATTGGTGTTTCCAATATTATTATTATTATTATTATTATTATTATTATTATTGTTTTTGGTGTTTCCAACATTATTGTTATTGATACACATACTATTGGTGTTTCTGATATTATTCATAATAATAAGTGTATTATGGATAGTATTGGTGTTTCCAATATTATTATTATTATTATTATTATTATTATTATTATTGGTGTTTCCAACATTATTATTATCGATTGCATATTATGCATATTATTGGTGTTTCTGATATTATTATTGATATACATATAATGGATATTATTGGGGTATCTGATATTACTATTTTTTTTTAACCATTATTATTAGTGATAGGCATATTGTGGATTTTATTGATATTATTGTAGGTATTATTTATATTATTGCAGATATTGCCAGTATTATTGATATTATTCCTATTATTATTGATGTTATTTTATCATCATCATTATTATTGTTATGGTTTTTAGTACTACTTCTAATGCTATTATTATTAGATAATATAATAGTGATCATAACTTTAAAATGACAGTACCTTGAATGTAACCATAACTCTGACATGATAACCATCATTATAAATGAGAATAACTTTTAAATGATGATGGTGATGAAAGCAGCGTGACAGCAATGTGGTGGTGGTGGTCCAGAAATGATGCAGGAGGCAAGGATTTCTTCGGGCAATGTCTTTTAATCAGACAAGGCAAGGCAAGGCATTCTCTATTAGGTCTACTTCTCTGATGATGATGATGATAATAACTAATGATGACGATAAACCAGTCTGGGAAATGGTGCTAAATAATGCATTACCCCCCTTGGGATTGTGGCTCCCTTTTCCTACAGCAGGATTGTGCTATATGTTTCCAAATTGTTCCTCAAGTTATTTTGCTTGTTTTGACAGTTCAGAAAACAGGAGATGAAAAGGTCATGAAATTCAGTTTAAAAGTCATGAGATTTGTGGGGGGCAGGAAAGGGGAGGAACTACTAGGTTTTTTTTAGTGCTGAAAGCTTTAGGGTTCATGGTTTCAGCCCTTAACTGGCACTGATAAAACAACCTCACTGAAAGCTGACATCCTTCTGTGGTCACACAACTATGGGTGTTAAGGCCTTAAGGAAAAAACTATGTAGTAGGAGACCCTAAAACCATGAGGAGTGGCAATGCTGAGTGGGACTTCCACCATCTCCTTTGGGATTTCTGTAGCACAGTCCTAGACAGAGTTCAAAATCTGTTTCTGTTTGCTGGGTAACTCTGTTGCTTTAGCTTGAAGGTTGTAGATTTCCCAGGATTTGACAGCCTTCTCAAAGCTGATACGGCTGTGCAAAAAGATCAAGGCCCTGTACTGTAGGTGAAATTCAGCCATGGACCCTATGGATCATTTGAGCTGGTGATCTTTCTTTTGATGGCTTACATGAATGCAGTTAGCCCGGGCTGGCCTTTGTACAAAGGTGAATTTTCCCGTATTAGAATTGGTAGCCTTCACGCTGGACGTTAGACAAAGATCCTCTCTGCCTGTCTCTGGCTACTCAAAGGACAGTGTTTTTAAAAGAGGAAGCTGTAACTTAGGCTTACTGGCTAATATTTTTTCTGCCTTTTGCTTTGTGGTTTCTTTGCCTCATTATTTCAGGGGCCTCAGAAAAATGGTAGATCTTCCATACTGCAGGTACAGCATTTCTTAGGCACATTTTGGGGAGGAGGGAGAAAATTCTCTGAACTTGTTGCCAAAGTGATTTAATCATGGTTTTACCGTTAATTTTACCTTCATATATGCACCATAAAAATACCTATACCGTACCAATCTTATTATTATAGCATCCACAGTTTTGCAAATTACCTTCCAAATATAAAACAGTATACATGTCTTTTCTGAAGAGTGTAAGTTACAGACAAACCTAGATTAGGAATTTGGGGAAAGACATGACTGAAATGAATTGAAGGTGGTGATAGACGCACATCTTGGTGGGCACAAGGTATATTAGCTACATGTTTCTTTTCTTATCTCCCAACAGCATGTATCTTTTGTTATCTCCCAACAGCAGTTCCTAGGTTTGGTTTCAGAGATCTTATATGCCAGCATTAGATCTCTCTTCCACTACACATAAGTGAGCAGTTCCATAAGTAAGTGACAGACAGGTTTCTTGTAGGAAGGATTGAGTGGCTGGATCCGAAGCGATTTGAGACAATGGATTTGGATTCGATTTTGACAGAGGAGAAGGTAATGGATTAGGAATGCTCCATAGAAATATTCCCTAGAGAGAAGAAGGGTGGGAGAAACAGAGAGATGGCTCTAAGGAAAAAATGGAAAGTTTGGGATGAACAAGTTTTGGACGTCAATGTTTTTCTGATTGTTCTCTTTGACTGTATATGCTAATTGATCAGTCATCTAAGTCACATGGTTTTGTTTCTGCCTACTGATTAGGCAACTGACACATTTTAAATAGAGAATAAAGGAAAACAAACATCATTATTTAACATGAATTTTCAGTGAGTAATAATTTATGCCAATATTCAGAAAATTCTAGTATCCACACCCTTATTCACAAATTTATGGCAGCTGTCAGGATATTAACAAATAACAAATGATTTGATTCCAGAAATGCTAGCAAAGCATTCTGACTAATCTTTTAGTCATGAGAAGGTTTGGAAACCAGTGTGTTTGCTAATTGCATAGCTATGATTTGACTCCCTCAGAAAAAAAGGTGCCAGGGTAACAATAAGTCTTACTAGTCAAAGCTCACTGCTGCTTATCAAATTCTCCCGTCATTCTGCAGGCATTGGTAACTTGGCACAAACATAGATGTTTAGTGCAGGAATTAAAAAGC